ATAGAACAGAGCCTTGGGGGCAAGCTGCACATGCTCAGTTTGGTGTGTATTGCTAGTGAGTTTTTCTTTTCTTGAAAGAGTGCATGTGATCAGCACAGGGCCAATCAGCACTGACCAGACAGAGGGTCAGGGGTTATGCAGCCTCATAGGATGATCAGAGGAGAATGAAAACCCCTCCTACAAGCTTTAACCAGTGCTCTGCTGGACACTAATAGAAGTCACAAGACTGCTCTAACTGCTGATGATAAAAGGTATTTAGCAGTTTATGTTTACTAAAATAATTGCATTTCCGTGTTCTGTATACTGTGGGAGACCAGATACAGTGAATGCAGGGTCCTGGGTTTCGTAACACTTTAAACTATGATAGGAGTTTATATTATAGTTTATATTATGTTGATTTTTCCAGTTGCCTAGTTTAGCCTAGTGATATTTCATTTGTTTTTTATTATTATTATTATTATACAGGATTTATATAGCGCCAACAGTTTGCTCAGCGCTTTACAATATAACGCGAGACAATACAGCAACAATACAGTTCAATACAGGAGGGGCTCTGCTCCTTGGAGCTTACAATCTAAGAGTTTAGTGACCTAGATATGGTTAATACTTCTGATATACATCTACAAAAAAATGCAGTTTCTTAAAAAGATACAATGTTATAAATGTATATGAGAAACACAGGGCTCTTCTAGCTATTTGATGTTTTATTGCTTTTAGAAGGTCGAAATAAAAGCTTTGTTCTCAACAAAAAAAACCTCATGATCTGCACAAAATGTTTTTCTGTTCAAAGACATATCTTTTGACTTAAGAAAATATATAATTAGTTGTCTATCCTTTTGCTAGAGAAGTAGATACTTATTTTATAAATCTCTGATATTGGTTCTGGTGGCTGTGAAAGAACATATTGTTGTTTTCTGTTTGATGTTTTGGCACTTTTCCAAGGTTACTGATTCTCTCTTAAGATGACCCTGTTGATATACTAAATGTTTCAGATAAAGGTATACCTGTAAAAGAAAAGATGAGAGCATATACTTACTCTTCCTGCTGCTCAAGCTGCTGAGCATCACTCTATTCAACAGAAATCAGCCCCTGAAGTCCACAGGGAAACTGACATTTCCAGAGGCGTTGATATTCTTGGTCCCTTGCTGCTTTTCTTTGTTCTTCCTACCAACCTCTGCATCATTATAATGGACAGTAGTGATGTGGAGGACAGCAGAAGGAACAAGTGAGTGCTACTGGGGATTGTCATTCCTGAAAATGTCAGGTTTCTTGTGGACAATTTCTTCTGAATGGAGTGGTGTTCTGCAGCACAGGCAAAGGGAAGAGAGGTTTATATTCTTTTTTTACAGGTACAGCTTTACGTGGGGCATTTAGTATAGGGCACAGTTGCTTTAATTCGGGGGGTCAGCAACCAGTAGATCATGATCTACCAGTAGATCTCAGCCAGGTGACTGGTAGATCACAATCTGAGCATGCTGATCCACTATCCCAGAACATCAAATAGAGTGCAATCCAGAGGGACTACTTGTAAAATTGGAGCTGTAGTAGGGAGCAAGAGCTGCCTAAGCCGATATCTCCTCTGTAGTGCTGGCTCCTGTCCCTTGCGGAATGATACCAACTATACTCCATCTCTTATCCTGGCTAGCAGTCTCCAGAGTGGTGCCAGCAGCAGGAAGGAAGAGATCTTCAGGTCAGTGTGAAGCAATACACTGGGCATAATAGTAAAGGCTGCTTTCACACTGATGTGTTGCGGTTTGCGACACAGTAGTACGGCAGTTAGAGGTTTAAATCTGTGCCCGGTGATCTTTGAATTCTCTCATGTTGTTCAGGTAGCTCTCCACCTCTTTAAGGTTGCCTACCCCTGCTTTAATAAACACAACATATTTTGACCATTTTAAAAGTGCAGTTTGAAAACTGGAGGTCTTTTTGACTTAAATGTCCTGCTCACAAATATGAAGGAAGCCTTAGTTGACATACACTCAGGTATCAGACACCCAGTAAGCATGTCTCATGTCCACAAAGCAAACCATAACATGCAAGGGTGTAGGGGTATAGAAGGTTTGAGACTTCAGTTGAACTTCAATATTTAATCAGAGTTCAGCTTAGGTTCACATAGATATTCCTGCCGGTTTCAGTGAGATTTCAAGGGGTAGTTGCTCAGCGATTCAGATGCAATTTGGCAGATTTCTCAGTCAGTCTCTCTCTCTGTCACTCTCCTGACATGGACCGGAGATGGGAGATAAGGAACAAAGCAAAGACTTGGAGAATATGTGCTGGAATTGTGCTATTTATTTATTACAGGTACTTATATAGCGCTGTCAATTTATGCAGCACTTTACACAGATATATATTGTACATTCACATCCCTGCCCTCAAGGAGTGTACAGACTAAGGTCCCTAACTCACATTCATACATACACATACTAGAGCCAATTAACCTTCCACCATGTCTTTGGTGTGTAGGAAGAAACAGGAGTACCCAGGGGAAACCCACGCAGGCCCAGGGAAAACATACAAACTCCAGGCAGGTGCCATGGTTGGGATTTGAACCAACAACCCTAGCACTGCCAGGTGGAAGTGCTAACCATTTCGCCACTGTGCTGTCCTGTTATCTTAAGACAGATAAGCGATTCCCAGTCAAATCTATGTAGCTATAAGTTGGACCGTACTGCACTAAACCACACAAGACCCTTTTTAAAATCGCATTGGAATCGTACTGCATTTATGTGAACAGCCTATATAGAAACTCATGTTATATCACTGTCATGTGATTTCATGTGTTCTGAAATGCATCAGAACTGCATCAGTGTGAACCATGGCTCAAAATTGACCCTCCAAATAGACACTATGGAGGCTGAATTATTCCAGGTGAAACTAGTAGGCCTTCACTAACGTTAATAATGTCCAGACTGCTTGAAAATATCTGCTTTTTGAGCTCCAATTACATAAAACTACCTCTGTCTTGGATAATGTGACACTGATTATAGTGTTGGTATCATGGAATTGATTGTGGCTCTGGTACTATAACACAGCCGGGTTTGACAGTACTGTAGCACTAATTCTGCTTGTCATGGTACAATGGTAAATGTCAGGTTCACTTTGATACAAAATAGTTAAATACTTGACATGATAAAGAAGGCATATCAGTCAGCGGTTTCTCCAAATATGCATTAAGCCCAGATATAACCCATGATACCACTGAATGTAACCTTTCCATCAATATAGTTGGGTAAATATTCTTTTTTAGTGAAAATCTTTGGCATTATGCACAAATTCCAATAGACTAACTGCAGTCAAAGTTGTCTGTTTTTTTACTGAAAAATAGGGCTGGACCATTCCCAGAAGCCAGGTAACCAAAATGCCTATAATTACATTTGCATCTAACTTTGTATGCCTTTTTGATTAGATATTCTCACTGTGCCCCTAAGGCTTAGTGTAGTGTTTCTCTTTTTTTTCAGTCAAGACACCTTTCAAAATTCTGCTCAATCTTGAGGCACCCTTCAAAATTCTACTCAATCTTGAGGTACCCCTCAAAATTCTGCTCAATCTTGAGGCACCCTTCAAAATTCTGCTCAATCTTGAGGCACCCATTACAAAATGTAAAAAAACTAAACTAATAGTTTTACAGAATGCAGCATGATTTGCACATGTAGAACACCCAATGTTAGAGATGATTTATTCTACCAAAGCAAACACAATTTTGCACAGTGGTGCTGACTAGTATTCCATTGTTTCTCTTCTTCCTCAGTTTCTCTTACTTGCTCACATACTAGTGTGACTTCAGTCCTCACGGAGAGGGGCAGGGAAGGGGCAGGCAAGGATGGATGTTGTGCAGGTGCCCTATGTCCTTCTTATTAACTGATGACATCATTGGTTGATATTTTTCTGGCCCCTAGAAAGTTGTAATGGTGCACAATGAAAACCCGTGGTTTACATGTAACTAAAAGGCAGGCTTCATCCACCCGCTGGATGGAATACAATTTTTAGGCATTTTTTTTCAAGGCACCCTGGTTGAGAAAGGCTGGGTTAGTGTACACATGCTCCAGAGACATGAAATATATGAAGTATCTATGACTTAAGCTTCAAGCCACTCTTCACTGTCAAATCTGTCCCTACAGGGAACACCTGTATGGCAGACCAGACAAAATTAGTTGGACTGCAACCTAAGATATGTGCATAGGCAGCAATGCATGCTAGCTTTGTAATGGTGCACTGCAATGAAAAATGACTGCTTCACATAGCAATTGTGTAGCATAAAACTGATAAGTCAAGATGTAGACGCTTCAGGTATGTCTAGGAATCTGGTTAAAGACCTAAAAGAAGCATAGGTTGATTTACTAAACTTAGAGATTACAAAATATGGTGCAGCACTGCAGAGAAACCAATCAGCTTCCAGGTTTTTTTTTTTACAAAGCTTAACCACCCTAGCGGTCTGATTATTTCAGATTTTTGGTGCTGAAAGCGGTACCATTATTTTGCATGTAAATATGTAGTTTTTTTATTGTAGGCTGTAATATTTAGGAATAACTCACTGAAATCTGTCCGAACAAGAGTCTATTAAACATCCCGGGTATGATAAAATTTGAAACACAAAATCATAAATTATAATTTAATGAATAATCATAAAAAATAATAATAATAATAATACATTTAATTCAATAATATAATCAAACCAAAAACACTGAAATTTGAAATATAGCGCCAAGTTCGCACATCACTGAGCAAAGTCGCAAAATTGTTTTCAGTGTCTGATGACGAATTTCCCCACGCATCATTATCACTCAATTCTGCAAGTGGTTCTGATTTACTATCGCTGTTCTCTAGCTGGTCTAAAACCGCTTTTTACCTAAAGAGACGCCATGGACTTTTCTAAGTTTCCAGGCAGAAAGAACAGTCAAAATGCAGGCAGGACACAGGACAAAGCACTAGGGACAAAATGTATGTGAAATGGTTTGAAACAGCAATGTTTTACTATGTAAAATTCGTTTTGAAAAAAATGACATTTTTTTTAAATTTTCAAATTTCCCGCTGCCGGCGCCCGTACGTCCCGACGTCACAGGGACCGGAACACAGAAGCCGGATGCCGGCATCAGCCGGAGGAGATGGCCGGGGACGCTGCAGGGGACACATCGTGGGAGCGAAGGACAAGGTAAGCTCTGCAGGGACTCACTATGCAGCGCCGCATGGTAAGCCCAAGTGTAGCTTGGGGTTACCGCTTTTGGTACAGAAACTTTACCCCGAGCTACACTCGGGAATACCGCCAGGGAGGTTAATTGAACAAGCTGAAGTTAGAAGCTGATTGGCTACAATGCACAGTTGCACCAGATTTTGCACTCTGCAGTTTTAGTAAATCAACCCCATAGTGTTCTACCATTAGATGTGCACTTTTAACACAGTAATACAAAAATAATTGCCAGCAGTACAAAGGAATTAAAGTGAACATAAGAAAACCAAACAATTTTTATGTTCTTTTAGTAAAAAACCCCCTGTATATAGCTGAACAAAATTGTACACTATTGTAACAAAACAGAGTGGACGTGTGAAACCTGGTGCAATATTAAACCGATATATCACAGCAATTGCTAAAACCTACACATTGCAAGCAATAAAAACATTTTTCCTAAGCACAAAGAAATTCAGACTGCATCGCGTTAGAGCATGTGCATTAATGTAATACGTAAAGTGATGCTAAAGGTTCATATAATTTTTTTGTTAAAAATAACAAACATGACATACTTACCTGCTCTATGCAATGGTGTTGTACAAAGCTCCCCCAATCCTCTTCTTGGGTCCCCTGACAGCACTCCTGCTAAGTGCCCCCAGAGTAAGCCAATTGCTCTGGGGGCAATCATGCAAGCTCAGTCCTGAGCTGACTCCGTGTATCTGTAAGACCCACAGAGCATGGCTCAGCCTTCCCCCCCCCCCCCCACACACACTCCCACCTGAATGGCTGTGATTGTGTCTCAGCCAATAAGGAGGGAAAGACCTTGGAGAGCACTGGATCGAGAGTGGGATTAGGTAAGTATTAAGAGGTGTTGAGGGGGTAACTGCACACTGAAGGTTTTTTTTACCTTCATGCATAGAATGCATGAAGCTAAAAAAAAAACCTTCAGCCTTTAGAACAACTTTAGAACCACTCTGCTTTAAGGCAGCCTATTAATTTTGAATGAGCAGGCAAAATGCTTTTAATTATTTTTTACATCTACTGCTTTCAGGTAAGTATGTATAGCCAAAACAGCTGTTTTTGTACCATTGCAGAAATTTCCTTTCACTTTCTGATCCAGAGACACAACAGCAAGTAAGAGGAATTCTTCCAAAGTGAAGGGAACTCTTCTTTTAGACAGTTGTCCCAAAAACAAGTGTCACCATTGGACGATTATGCTTACCTTTTGTTCTTTCTCAAGGACAATAGTTTGCAGGATAAGCTAAGTGCTGAATCTCCCCAATGGGAACACAGACATCAATAAAGGCTTGAGAGAGGGTATAACCTTCCCCACAATATCCAAAACTAAAGAAAGTTTTGCCTAGAGATACACTTCAAATCAGCCATTCTAAACTAGGGTCCTCCAGAGGTTGCTATGGGTTCCTTGAGCTGTGGTTGATTTGATGGTGCCTGCATAGTTCTAGGGCCAAACTCACTTGGCAAAGTCAGCAACATGACACCAATGATCTTTTTAGCTGTCTGTAATGGTAGCAATCTAACAACACTGTAAGGGTGGCATTCTTCCTACTGATCACTACAGTAAGGGGCAGTTTTCCACTGACCCCTGATAAACCGGTTTTAGTAAAAGTCCGCCAAAACCTGAAAATTATTTAAGGGGTTCCTATGGGGTAAAAAGAATGAAAATGGCTGCTTTAAATCATATCAGCAAATTGTATCTATGGTCACTTACTTTCCTAAGGTGACAGTGTTTTTTCAGTTCAGCTATAGATTTTATGTGCCCCTGAGTTGGAATAGAGCTAGCTGTGCCATTGCACAGCATGCCTTTAATGTTCTGCAATGGTCACTATAGTAAAACTGTGATGTTCAGCAACCACTAGAGAAAGTCCACCTCCAGAGAAAGTTCCTGCAAAGCAACTAGTCTCAACTAGAGTTCCTCCAGAGGTTGCTAGGACTTCCTTGAGCTGTAAGTCCTATTTAATGGTACCTACATAGTTGCCAAGCCAATGCCAGTTGGCAGAGCCAGCTAAAGGACACCAATGATCTTTCCAGCTGTCCATAAAGGGTTGCATTCTGAACACCACTGTAAGAGGGACATTCTTCCAATTGACCCAAATGTAAGAGGCATTTTCCAACTGACCACCAATTAGTTGGATTTTGCAGGGGTTCCCTGAAACTGAAATTATTCTAAGGGTTCCTCTGGGGTAAAAAGGTTGAGAAGATGGCTGCTACAAAAAGTCTACAGGATGGCCACAGCACAGGGAGAGAAAAAAACAAAGTAAGTGGGAAATTGTGTTTGTTATTAAAACAATAATCTATTCATATATTGCCTCCACTGCTCTATAAAAGAGTATTTTTGTGAGAGTTTAGTAATAAAGAATTTGATTAGAAGAAATGGCTTAAATAGTAAAAAAATCCATGCTCCTATTTGGAAGAATAGTACTTACTGACAGATGTAAACATGTATTTTTGGCACTTCAGAAACTGGCAGCCAACTATACTGAGTGAGGTCATTTTTCAACTTCAGCAACAACAATAACAAACAAGGTACAGGGAAGAGTCTGGCACTTTACATCTCTGTGGAGAAAGGGAACTTTATGCCAGAAATGTTACTCACAGATCCTATAAATCCAAGCTGACATATTTCCAACAGCAGACACTGTGCCTGCATGCATTTACAGTATGTAGTGGTTGTTAAAATGTATCTAAACCTAAAAACAAAACTGTAATACATTGCAGCTTACCTGTCACTAAATGTGGTGGCTGCATTTGTTTTCTTTCTTTTATTTTCACTTGATAAATCTGCAAATAACACATTTCCTGTCCTAGGGTGACAAAGCTCACTCCCCCACTGTATCTTTGGAGACAGCCATAGTAGCCATCCAGGCTGGACAAGTCTTCATCACATATGGGGTAATGCGGTATATTACACAACAAAGATAAGATTGTGCCTGCTTCCACATCATCTCACAGCAAGTGACAAGGGCACTCTAATCTGGCAAGATCAACAGGTATTTTCTGCCCTTGTTAAAAATGTTCTGTAGGGACCCTGTCTTAAAGCAACACTAAACTCTGGTTTAAAAAAACGTGTTCAAGTTTCTATTCTTAACTCAGAAAAGTACCTTATACTGCTCGAGCCTCCTCCAAATCTCCAAATTCCTTTTTTTGCTGTGATCTGACCTCTTTTTAGAGAGTGGCTATGTTCAATCATCATGCCCTTTCCTTTTTTTTTCTCCTTTAGGCTCTTCCCCAGAAGGAGCCAATGTTAATTCTCTCCAGATTACAGTTGTCCTGCTGGAGGATCTGTCTAAAGGAAACTGTGCAAGTAGATGTCTGCCTAGATGGAGCATCTGTAAAGGAATCTTCCTCTTTGGATGGTCTAAGGAGAACAGAGTGTAAGTTGCAGGCCAACGCAAGAAGGATTCACAGAATAAATGTATTTTTGGTTGCGAAGGGCTAAATTACTCATATAGAAAGATCCACTGTCACCTAAGACCTAAACCAGGCTTTCTCAAACAGGGTTCTGCGGAGTTCCTACAGACACTAGGGTTTCTATTGGCAGTGGCAGATTTGTCTCGCACTACAATGACTACCTATGTAAGGGGGTACTTTTCCACTGATACACTTTTCCACTGATACAATCTATCTAGTCTTCAATGGAACCCTAGGGTTCCTCCATAGATTGCTAGGAGTTCCTTGAGCATAGTGGAAACTCCCACCTGATGGTATCTATATAGTTCTTGCTTCGATGCCACTTGACAGAGCCAACTGCAAAGGACCAGTGGAGCTCCTCCTCTCTTTTGTTAGTTAACTAACCTCTGGCACCAATGATAATATTAGTTGCCTCTAAAGAAGGGCTTTCTTTCCTTTGACCAGCAAAGTAAGAAGCATTCATTCCACTGACCACCATAGTAAGGAGCATTCTTCCTCTCTGATCGCCAATGTAAGGACATTCTTTCCACTGACCACCATTGTATGGAACAATTTTTCCACTGACCAGTGTAAGGGAACCACCTCTCATTAACCACTAGTGGGGTGTGACATATGTAACACAATTTGTAGCACCTTTTAGTGTGCTACTAGAATAGTATAGGCAAATCTATTGTGTATGACTCATGGTAACTGTGCGAGTCTGTGATTAAGTTTGGGTTACTGTAGGTCAAGCTGGGTGACTTAACAGGTTGGGACCAGGGGCGGACTGACCATTTGGAAACTCGGGCACTGCCCGAGGGCCCGGGGTCACTAGGGGGCCCCATGAGATGCCCCTGGTACCTTTTATAGGCTTTTTTGAGTTTGGGCAAGGACACAGGGGCTCCATGATCCCCTATTGGCGGGGGCCCCATGAGTTGTCAGTCCGCCCCTGGTTTGGACTCTATCGCTTCCACCTAGTTCTGGAAGACCATGGTAACCTTCCAGAAGCCAGTAGGCAGAAGAGGTGAAGACCTAATCTGTATGTTTGTGGGAATCTAACCAATCTCAGGTTTAAAAACTGGTAGAAAGGGGGACCAGCCTATACATATGGGATAATCAGTCTGGCTGAGGAGTCGGGTGGAAGATGGAGTGCTTAGGAGACTGGGAGGGGTGCCCTAAGTCTGAGGACGGGGGGGGACTGGCCTCCAGGGTGGGCTCAAGCTGGTTCAGGAGGATCTATTCAACAGTATGGCATGAACAGGATCAATGCCTGAGAGCAGTGGGAGCAAAGAAGACAGAGTGAGTACATCATTCCACCCAGGGATTCATGAGGGGAGAGACTGCCACATATAGCAAGCTTTCAAATGACAGCACTGTGCTTAATCCTTTACCCTTGTCCTGGGAGAGCTTCAGTGCAGCCAAGAGGACTGGTAGTGTCTGCAGGATGTGGAGCTGGGAGCAGTTCTACAGGGGAGAGGAGATACTTCTCCATGTAGTTTGCAAGAAGCTAAGTTGGTTTCAGAGGGGCTGTGAGTTCCTTTCCCGTAAGGGGCTGTTGTTACTGATCCACAAAGACTCCAAAACCAACTTCCCCCTGATGAAGCCACGTGACCGGTGGCGTAACGCGTAGGGGAGGGGCTCTGACGTCACCGCGTGCAGTTGGCTTTTCTTGCGAGTACAGACACAGTGTGTGTTAACACACTGCTACCTTTTCTTCTTAAAGGCTTGTTTATTTTAATGAAAATTTGAGTGTGACAGACAGAGTTTGGCAATAAAAGGAGTTTTATAAGCATAAAGCACTATCTTCTGTTTTTCTTTGCAATTATATATGTGGAGTTTGCTGGAGTAATTCTGGAGGATTGTTCCCCTGGAGGGGAGAAGGAGGGAAGATTAATTCATCCATCCACACACCCATAGATCCATACAAGATAATGAGGAGAGGAGTGACATCAGGTTAACCAGGAAAACTGCGGTTTGGAGAGATTGTTTGAAGGTGATAAGAAGCCAAGCATACTTCATCCTTTTATAGGATAAACTGCGTGATTTAGCCTGTTGAGGCTGGAGATGGAGGTGAGCGCATGCTAGAGCTGTATTTATGCTGCAAAAGTTTTTGGAACCTGGAGTGTATTCATCTAATTAGCACAGATTTCTCAAAAAGAAAGAGGACTCTTATGTATCAGTCTCTGGATATACAATGGTACATTTATTTCCGTAGTATAAAGCACAGTGGACATTTGTTTTTTTCACATTTTGTTTTTTTCACACTTTATTTATATTAGATTTTATTTTAGTTTATTTTTTACACGTAATCAATGTGTCTTTGATGATAATAATAGAGGAGTGCAGCACGATATTTATCTATATATTGATCCACAAAGACTGATGGCTTTCAAGGAAAAGAACAATCCAGGATATGTTTCTGTAAATAGGAAGGAAGTTGTCCCCGTGCATTGTTTCAGTCAAGTTGGGCAACCCATAATCCCTATTACCCTAACCAAGTTATATTCCCCTAATAAAATAACAAAAACCAAGCTCATGAACTGTTCAATGACTGTGAATGAAAGTGTGGAAAATGCGCATCGCCTGGCTTTACAGAGCTTAGGGTTACCTAGAAACACAGCTGCACTCACAAGGGTAGCACAACATTTATAAAATAATTTTTAACAGGGATTTCTCAATGATAAAAATGTTGAACAACTTTTGCAAAGTACAGTTGTGTTCAAAATAATAGCAGTGTGTTGAAAAAAGTGAATAAAAATCCTTCTAATAGCTTTTATTTCCATACACAAAAATGTATTGGGAACACTACACATTCTATTCCAAATCAAAACATGAAAAAAAATATATCAAATTTGAGTTGTTGCTCTAAAAAAACATTCACTATATAAACTGAAAAATGTTTGAAGATTTTGCTTTCCTTTGAATCACTTAATTAATATTTAGTTGTATAAGCACTGTTTCTGAGAACTGCTGTACATCTGTGTTGCATGGAGTCAACCACCTTCTGGCACCTGTGAACAGGTATTCCAGCCCAGGATGATTGGACTACATTCCACGGTTCTTCTCTATTTCTTGGTTTTGTCTCAGAAACTGCATTTTTGATGTCACCCCACAAGTTTTCTATTGGATTAAGATCCGGGGATTGGGCTGGCCACTCCATAACATCAATCTTGTTGGTCTGGAACCAAGATGTTGCACGTTTACTGGTGTGTCTGGGGTCGTTGTCTTGTTGGAACACCCATTTCAAGGGCATTTCCTCTTCAGCATAAGGCAGCATGACCTCTTCAAGTATTCTGATGTATTCAAACTGATCCATGATCCCTGGTATGCGATAAATAGGCCCAACACCGTAGTATGAGAAACATCCCCATATCATGATGCTTGCGCAACCATGCTTCACTGTCTTCACAGTGTACTGTGGCTTGAATTCACTGTTTGCAGGTCGTCTGACAAACTGTCTCCGGCCACTAGACCCAAAAAGAACAATCTTACTTTCATCAGTCCACAAAATGTTGCGCCATTTCTCTTTAGGCCAGTCAATGTGCTCTTTGGCAAATTGTAACCTCTTCAGCACGTCTTTTTTTCAACAGTGGGACTTTGCGGGGGCTTTTTACAGATAGCTTGGCTTCACATAGGCGTCTTCTAATTGTAACAGTACTCACAGGTAACTTTACACCTTCTTTGATCTTCCTGGAGCTGATTGTTGGCTGAGTCCTTGCCATTTTGGCTATTCTTCTATCCATTCCAATGGTAGTTTTTCACTTTCTTCCACGTCTTTCAGGTTTTGGTTGCCATTTTAAAGCATTTGCGATCATTTTAGCTGAGCAGCCTATCATTTTCTGCACTTCTTTATATGTTTTCCTCTCTCCAATCAACTTTTTATTCAAGGTACGCTGTTCTTCTGAACAATGTCTGGAACGACCCATTTTCCTCAGAATTTCAGAGAGAAATGCACTGTAACCAGCATGTACAACATTTGCTGCCTTCCTTCCTTAACCTCCCTGGCGGTATGATTATTTCAGATTTTTGGTGCTGAAAGCGGTACCATTTTTTTGCATGGAAATATGTATTTTTTTGTATTGTAGGCTGTAATTTTTAGGAAAAACTCACTGAAATCTGTCCGAACAAGAGCCTAGTAAACATCCCGGGTATGATAAAATTTGAAACACAAAATCATAAATTATAATTTAATAAATAATCATAAAATAATATAAAAATAATAAAAAATTTAATTCAATAATATAATCAAACCAAAAACACTGAAATGTGAAATATAGCGCCAAGTTCGCACATTGCTGAGCTCAGTCGCAAAATCGTTTTCAGTGTCTGATGACGAATTTCCCCCACGAATCATTATCACTCAATTCTGCAAGTGGTTCTGATTTACTATCGCTGTTCTCTAGCTGATCTAAACCGCTTTTGACCTAAAGGGACACTTTTTGGACGCCATGGACGTTTCTCAGTTTCCAGGCAGAAAGAACAGACAAAATGCAGGCAGGGCGCAGGACAAAGCACTAGGGACAATATGTATGTGAAATTGGTTGAGACAGCAATATTTTACTATGTAAAATGTAAAAAAAAAAAAATGACATTTTTTAAAATTTTTAAATTTCCCCCGCCGCCGCCTCCGGCGTCCCGTACGTCCCGACGTCACAGGACACAGAAGCCGGATGCCGGCATCGGCCGGAGGAGATGGCCGGGGACACTGCAGGGGACACATCGTGGGAGCGCAGGGTAAGGTAAGTGAAGAACACATGCCGGAGCAGTGCCGCATGGTATTCCCAAGTGTAGCTCGGGGTTACCGCTTTTGGTACTGAAATGTTACCCCGAGCTACACTCGGGAATACCGCCAAGGAGGTTAAATAAGGGCAATAATTGCCACCTGTTTTTCAAAGAATGAATGACCTCAGTAATAGAACTCCACACTGCTATTATTTTGCACATGCCCCTTTCAATTAGTGATTCAATTACACAGAATCAGCAGCATGCATGTCATGACTGTTGGGTCTGTTGGATTTCTTTTACTCTACTACACCTGCTAGTAAAGTATTTGCCATGTAGAAATATAATTTCTACCAAAAACAGTGATTGATCAGGTTAGTGATGTCTTACTGCTAGTAGCGAGCTTTCAAAGGACAGCATTGTGCTTAATCCTTTATCCTTGTTCTGGGAGATCTTCAGAGCAGCCAAGAGGGCTGGTAGTGTCTGCAGGCTGTGGAGCTGGGAGCTGTAGTTTGCAACAATCTGTGCTAACTTTCAGGGGGGCTGAGAGTCCCTAGCCCGCAACGAGCTTTTGCTACTGATCCGTAAAGACAAACCACATTCAAGGAGAAGAACAGTCCAGGACCTGTTTCTGTAAATAGGAACAAAGTTGTCCCCGTGCATTGATTTAGTCAAGTTGGGCATTCCATAATCCCTATTACCCCATCCAAGTTATTTCCCCTAATAACATAACAAAAAACAAACTCATGTACTGTTCATTGACTGTGGATGCAAGTGCGAAAATGTGTGTTGCCTGGCTGTGCGACGCTTAGGGGAACCCATAAACACAGCGGCACTCAAGAGGGTAGCGCTAGGTGAATCATGTTTTCTTTTACATATTGTGGATGGTTGGGTAAATGTGTGTCGCTTACATGAGGAAGAGATGTCACCAAGATGCAGTACGGGAAGAAGGCAAGCCATCAAATTATATGATTATATACTTTGTGGTTAAAGACCAGGTGGTAGCTGCTTAAGGTAGGGTGATCCATTTTTCAGCGCAGGAGGCTTTCTTTCGTATTTTTCATAAGCCGTCAAAGGCAGTGTGATGCTTTGGACAATGTTCTGCTGGAAAACCTTTAGTCCTGCCATTCATGGAACTGTTACTTTACATATATCACCTTAACTAAACACTGTTGCTGATCAAGTACACCCCTTCATGGAAACGTCATTCGCTGATGGCAGTAGCCTCTTTCAGAACATATTTTTTCCACCTGAGAAATATTGCTCAGCTGCATTCAATGCATATACTGTAGCTGAAAAGTTGACCCATACATTTTTATTCTTTTGACTTGACTACTGCAATGATCTACTCGCTGGTGTATCTAAATCCTCTATCAATCAACTTTAATATGTACAAAATCCTGCAGTTAGAATCCTGATTAACCATATAACTGCTATTCTGGAGTCATTGCACTGGCTACAAGTCAGGTTTCATACTGACTTTTAGATCCTCTTGCTCACCTATAAGGCTCTTCATGACTTGGCACCCTATTATCTGTCTGAGTCTCTATCAACTTACATTCCCCCTCGTGACCTCCACTCCTCAAATTCTGGTCTTCTGTGTTTCTCTCCTATACGCCTACACTCAATGGGAGCCTTCTCCTGCTATGCTCAAAAATTAACTTCCAAAGAATATCAGAAAGTCTCTGAACTCATTCAAATCAATTCTAAAACATTAGTTCTTTAAACAAGCTTTCACGTAATTGTCCCTTTTTTTCCTTGTTTTTTCCTGTGTAATTCTTGTGTTTTCTTGTGTGCAAAAGTTTTAGGCAGGTATGAAGAAATGCTGCAAAAAAAGAATATTATTCTTTATATATTATATATTTATTTTTATCAATTTACAAAGTAAGTGAATTGAAGAAAAATCTAAATCAAGTCAATATTTGCTGTGACTACCCTTTGGCTTCAAACTAGCATCAACTCTTACACTTGCACACTTTGTACATTAATTTTTGTAGGAATAGAGTCAGTTGCATGATTAACCAATTATAACAAGAAAGGTTCTCATGATCATTAATTTCATGTAGGTTGAAAAACAATCAACAGAAACAGAAACAGCTGAGTAGGATGCTTAAACCTTGGTGAGTAACAGCCAAACTCTGCTACTAGGGTTAGGTGGAAGACAGTTTCATGTCACAGGTCATACACCATGGCAAGACGGAGCACAGCAACAAGACACAAGGTAGTAATACTGCATCAGCAAGGTCTGTCCCAGGCAAAGATTTCAAAGCAGACTGGATTTTCAAAATGTGCTGTTCAAGCTTTTTTAAAGAAGCACAAAGAAATAGGCAATGTTGAGGAAAGTAGACACAGTGGTTGGCCAAGGAAACCTAATGCAGCAGATGAAAGACACATCATGCTTACTTCCCTTTGACATCAGAAAATGTCCAGCAGTGTCATCAGTACAGAACTGGTGGAAGCCAGTAGGACCAAGGTACACCCATCTACTGTCTGGAGAAGTCAGACCAGAAGTCAACTTTATGGAAGAATTGCAACCAAAAAGCCATACCTCCGATGTGGAAACAAGGCTAAGTGACTCATTCTGCAGCAAGACGACTCCAAACATACAGCCAATGTCATTAAGAACTATCTTCAGCGTAAAGAAGAACTGATGGTTTGGCTCCCAAAGAGCCCTGATCTCAACATTAATGAGTCTATGTGGAATTAAATGAAGAGACAGAAGGGTTTGAGGCAGCCTACATCCACAGAAGATCTGTGGTTAGTTCACCAAGATGTTGGAACAACCTACCTGTCGAGTTCCTTCAAAAACTGTATGCAAGTGTACCTAGAGGAATTGATGCTGTTTTGAAGGCAAAGGGTGGTCACACCGAATATTGATTTGATTTGGATTTCTCTTCTGTTTGTTTACTTTCAATTTTGTTAATTGATAAAAAAAAACTATCAGCACTCATATTTCTGAAAGAATTCTTAATTTACAGCATTTTTCCATATATATATTCATACATACAGTGTGTGTATATATATATATATATATGTGTGTGTGTGTGTGTAGACACACACACCTACAGTGACTGAGAAAGAAAGCTCTATATATTTTGATAAGTTTGGGATGAAATGCCCAGTATAATGGGATGTGCAAGATTTTCTTTTCAGTAAATCTCAGGGTAAGTGAGCGCTTAAAATTAGATAATAAAAATGAATGAATAAAATTGAATAAAATGAGACAATAGCAGCTGAACACCAAAAAAGGTACCGTATAAACCTCCAAAATAATCAGAATACATAAAGGGGGAGGTGCAGCGCTAACTTAATGTGCTTAGAGTATATACACACATTCATATAAACAGTATTAAGGTGCTAATACAGTGCAATAAAGATGGCTATGGATAATAAGTATAGTCCATAACGTGATCACACCTACACCTTATAATACAAAGCTTTTTAAAAGCTTTGAAGGTGTCTGACCGTTTCTACATGGTTGATGATCGGGAGAGTGAACGAATCTGTACCTATGTGGTAGTACAATGTGCAATTTTATTGCTCTGAGAGCGGCCTTTTTTCATTCATGTGTGGCAATACTATCAAGTGGCGAGGGGCTCCTGACCAGATCTGACCAGACCCATATGAGGACCCTAGGATCTCCTGGGAATATCTGCTTTGAATGCGCATTTGGATTGCGTATCTGGTGAGTGCGCAATCTTTATACATTTATCACCTCACCCACGAATCCAGCCATTGGGGTTCTTTGAAGACTCTCTTGGGATCTTGATCACGTTATGGACTATACTTATTATCCATAGCCATCTTTATTGCACTGTATTAGCACCTTAATACTGTTTATATGAATGTGTGTATATACTCTAAGCACATTAAGTTAGCGCTGCACCTCCCCCTTTATGTATTCTGAAGATTTTCTTTTATTTTAACAAAAATATCTTTAATCTAATCGCTGCAACAGTGTTATCACTTGCACACCCCTTAGAAACTAACTTTTCAACCAACAATATGTGTATCCCAGGGGGTACTTCTGATACTGTCAGAGTGTACTGCTGTTTCTAAACTAAATGCAGTACAGCAGTGTAGAGCTTTAGTATAAAATAAATAATACATAAAGCATGTTTGAGTAAGTATTTTTATCTATGTTAAAGTGTAAGGGATTATTCAGACAGCATTTAAGCACAGAGGGAGTATTGGTAATAACTATACATAAACCAGGGCGGTTTGAGATTAAATGAGTCATACCACAAGGTACTTGGTAAATGCTGGCTTCTATAAAAGGGAATATATTTAAAAAATATTGGGAAACATGGTTCTATTAAGCCTGTGTTTACAACTAGCATTGGGGATACTGCAATTTAAAGAAGAACCCCAGCCAAACAAAATGAAAAAAGCAGCTTTTGTTGTAATTTTCACTTTTGATCTGGATCTCATTTCTTCTTTTACCACCAGTCCACTTCCTCTAAACCCAGTTTGTGATGGACCCACCCCTGGCTGTTACTGGATAGTGAAAAGAGAAGCAATGTAGTGATGAGCTTTTCTTTCTGTGCTATATTCTCTCCACCAATATTTACACTGCTTGCAGTTTAAAAAATACAGTTCATATTTTATAAATGATTACAGAGCTGTACTAATATACAACTTTTTTTGAGTTTTAGATAGAGTAGTTAAACCCCTGTGACTTTATAGTTTTTGGCTGTTTGTGTCCCTTTAGGAGATCGTCTTTCACTTCCTGTCTCAGAGATGCTACAGAAAGTGAGGATATCTCTAGGCCAGTGTTTCTCAGCCTTTTTTCAGTCAAGGCACCCTTTAAAATTATGGACAATTTCAAGGCACCCTCTAAAATACTGGATAGTCCTGAGGCACCCTTTAAAATTATGGACAGTCTTGAGGAATCCCATTATAAATGTAAAAAATACTATTCTAATAGTTTTATATAATGCATCAACATCCACACTCGTAGGACACCCAACATTAGAGGTGATTTATTCTTCTAAAGCACACTTTTGCAAACTGGTACTGACTAGTAATCTAGGGTTTCTCTTTTTCCTCAGTTTTTCTCCATCACTGAGCTAATGTGACCCCAGCACTGACAGAGAGGGGCAGGGGAGGGTCAAACAAGGATGTTGCGCAGGTAGCCTACA